GTAGGAAGCTGCCCCTCTGCGGCGCTAACCCTGCCTGGCCTGTGGCTTGCAGCTGGAGAACGCCAAGCAGTCGGCGGAGAGGAACAGCAGCATGGTGGGCGCCGCCCACGAAGAACTGCAGCAGTCGAGGATCCGCATCGACAGCCTGTCGGCCCAGCTCAGCCAGCTGCAGAAACAGGTGAGCAGGAGATGCCAGGGAGAGCATTGTCCAGCCATCTGCCCCCTCCGCCCGCTAGTGCCCCCTTGTGGCTGCCCCGGAACCCAGCTGAGCACCTGTCATGGGCGAGCTCCATTCAGGACATGAACACGCCCCTTCAATCAGCGCTAGGTGCTGCCCTCTAGCCACAGTGCTGGGCACCGCAGGGGGGCTGAGTGGAGCTGGCCAGCTGCTAGGGGCAGCATTCGCACCCCCATTGCCATGATTGTGGGGCATGGAGGAATAGGGAGGGATGGGCAGGTTTGGAGGGGACATGGGCATAACACCCCCAGCCTCCCTCAATCCTCTGGCTAGCACTTGGCTGCAACAGAGCTGTGCCCTGGGACGTCTGTCACAGGCAAACATCCCAGCAGGTGCGTGACAGCAGTGTGGGGTGTCTAAGGGGCCAATAGCCCTGGTAGCGAGGGGCTCCCTCTGCTGCATGTGCTCTCCTCACCCCCTTCCTCCGCGTCTCCTCTCTGCTCCCAGCTCGCTGCCAAGGAGTCGCAGCTGCGGGACCTGGAGGACGCGCTGGCCCGGGAGCGGGAGACCAGCCGTCGCATCCTGTCCGACAAGGAGCGGGAGATGGCGGACATGCGGGCCAGGATGCAGCAACAGCTGGACGAGTACCAGGAGCTGCTGGACATCAAGCTGGCCCTGGACATGGAGATCCACGCCTACCGCAAGCTACTGGAGGGAGAGGAGGAGAGGTGGGTGCAGAGAACGGCTCCTTGATGGGGTGGGGGAGGAGCTTGCTAGGAGCGTGGCCAAGGGGAGGTGCGGGGGAGCCTGATGGGTTGGGGGATGTGCCACTGGGGGCTGGGCGAATGGAGGACATGCTGATTTGGGTAGGCTGCTAACACAGGCCTGGTCACGTTGACCTGACCCTAATGTGAAGGGGTTTGGTGCTGCAGTGGTGGACAGATTGGGGGTGGGGCATGGACCCTACTCAACTTCATCCCACCTGCCCTAATGGGGGGGGGGGGTGTTGGCCCAGCCTGTTACAAAGACAGGAGCCAGTCACAAAATCTGTTCCCACCCGACACGATCGGAGACTCCCAGATGCAGGGGATAGTCAGGTGCCGAGCCTGGATCCAGGCAGGGATGGGGATTTTAGGGCGTTGGTGAGGGACTGGGGCACATCTGGGAGCTCAGGTGGACAGGGAGGCCGGTGGCTCAGAGCGGGACGTGATGGGCTGGTCAGGAATGGAGACTAGCTCAGCTCTGCTCCCCACAGCAGCCTGTATCCCCGCAGCCATGCTGGGGGTGTGAGAAGGGCAGCTGCACCTCAAACGTGTGTGGAACTGATGGCCCCAGAGGCAGAATTCCCTCCCTGGGGAACAGGCAGCATCCAGGTGGGCTCGGCCTCCTGCCCTGCTAATGAGCTTCCCAGCTCCATGCTGGGGGCCAGTCCTCAACCACCACAGCCAGTTCAGCCCTTGGTATTTCTGCCGAGAGGTTGAGGGAAGCGGTGGGGAGGGATTTTGTGCCGGAGACGTGTCCTTCAGGGGACGTCCCATGGGGTAGTGGCCTCTGTCTGCAGGTCCCCAAGCAGCCACGAGATCTTGTCCTCTCTGTCGCTTCTAACCAGGCCCGGATCGGCCAGCGCCCTAGGGGGTCCAGGCCCTGATTCCCACCCAGCCCCCACTCACTCCCTCTCCCTCTCTCCCAAGGCTGAGGCTGTCTCCAAGCCCCAGCTCCCAGAAGGGGGGCTCCAGGATCCACGTCAGCCACTCCACCACGCCGGGCTCCTCCAAGAAGAGGAAGCTGGAGGACGGGGAGCGCCGGACGAGCTTCTCCCAACACGCGAGGACCAGCGGCCGCGTGGCCGTGGAAGAGGTTGATCTGGAAGGGAAATTTGTCCGTCTCAGGAACAAGTCCAACGAGGTAGATTTCCTGGTGGCGATGCTGGTCGTGCCTAAGCAGGGGCAGGATGGGTCAGTAGCTGGAAGGGAAACCATGTAGTTCTTGAGTGTCCTTCCCCTCGGGTCGGCCCTAAACCATCTGTGCAGACAAAGGGTGCTGCAATTTTTGTGAGACTTCAAACTTAGAGCCAATTCCTAGTGTAAACCAGGTGGTGTTCTGTTTTGTGTGCTGTTAGACAGGTGCTGTGTCCCACCCCAGAGGTGGGTGCATTTCAACAGTTGCTGTTGTGTGTGGCTTGCAAATCGCTTTGGAATGCTTTAGAACCAAAGCAGATCTCATCAGCTGATCTCAAAGCTCGTTGCAAGGAGATCAGTATCATTAGCCCCCTTTTACGGATGGGGAAACTGAGGCACAGAACAGGGACATGACTTTCCCAAGGTCACCCAGGAGACTAGTGTCAGAGCTGGGAGTAGAACCCAGGTTTCCTGAGTCCAGTCCAGTGCGCTGTCTACTAGGCCACACTGTACTGGGAGCTGTACATACACATGGTGAGAGACAGTCCCTGCCCCAAGAATCTTTGTGTATATAAACAAGACAGACAAAGGGTGGGGAAAGGGATACAAGCAGAAGATGGGGAAACTGAGGCGAAGGGAGGTGAGGTGACTTGCTGAAGGTCAGAGGGTCTGTGGCAGAGTCCCAGTTCAGTCCCTTAACCACAGGACTTGTGGCTAAGGGGAGGCAAAACCGGAACAACCTTGAAGGTCGGTTTCTCAAGGCCTCTGCCTTCTGTTACACAGGACCAGGCGATGGGGAACTGGCAGATCAAGCGTCAGAATGGAGAGGAGGCCCTCATCAGTTACCGCTTCCCTCCCAAGTTCACCCTGAAGGCCGGCCAGGTGGTCACGGTGAGTAACAAACTGCACTTGCACGGGGCTAATGAAGGGTTAGCGCCCTGGGGAGCTGATGCGCCGTTCTCCGTTGGCATTTGTCACTCTGGAGTCGCCCCTGGGAGATGGAGCAGCGGGTCCCACCCTCCTGAGGAGCAGAGCAAACTCAGCCCCTCTGAGTGCACAGGCATCTCACCTCCGGGCCCCTTGGTAGAATGGCCATAGGGCTCCCCCTTGGGGACGGATGGGAGATTGCAGCTCAGATTCTAGCTGGGATACAACGCTCCAATGTGGGGGGGGCTGATCTCCCCTTTGCATGCAGGAACTGCTGACATTGCCGGATCTGAGCTCGGGCTGGCAGAAATCGCACCCCGGCCGCAGCTCTTGTAGGATTCCTGCCAATTGGGACTGAAGTGGCGCTGGATTTTGACATCTTAAGTTCCAAGTCATGGCCCCGGCATAAGCAGATGCCTGATGTAGCACCAGGATTCAGATCCTGCCTGTGGTTTTCTCAGCCCATCTCCCTTGCCTCCGTTCCTTGCCGTTTAGAGAGTAGTGACCCTCCCCCCGCCCCGCTCCCAATTCAGCAGTCCAACACGGGGGTTTGAACCTGGAACGAGCGATCAGAGCAGTTCCTTTAGTTAACAGCTGTAGTAGACTCGTACCGTCTTTTGTGGAGCAGCCGCTGGACAGGGGCAGAGACCCACATGGGGAGTTAGGGTGAGGTTGATGCTGCTGGCGCAAGGTGCTACCGATCTCTGTGTGTTCCTTTTTAGATCTGGGCCTCCGGAGCGGGCGCCACCCATAGCCCTCCCACTGACATGGTGTGGAAGGCCCAAAGCTCCTGGGGCTCTGGAGACAGCCTGCGTACCGCCCTGATCAACTCCAGCGGAGAGGTGAGACTCTTACCTGGGGGTGGGGCAGTGGCAGCTGGGGGATCGAGGTCTCGTGGCAACATGCTCTGGCCGGATGCAAGAGAGGGAGGGGTAAGAGGTGGAGGGTGAAAGTGACGCATTGGCCAGTGGAGTTGGGTCTGATTCCTCCCTCGTGTGTTGTCGCCGTCTGCGGGCTGGGAGTCACTAGGGTGATCTTTCACCTGAGCCATAGAGCGAAGGGGGATCTCGGCAGCTGTAGCTGCAACTTGACTTTGCCCTGACTCCCTTCCAGGAGGTGGCCATGAGGAAGCTGGTGCGCACGGTGATCATCAATGACGACGAGGAGGATGACGATGACGAAGTCAGCGTTCACCACCGTCACCACCATGTAAGCATCATGCTCTGTCAGGGACAGGCAGCGGGATCCAGTGGGTAGGGGACTCAAGACCTGGTTCTGCTGCTGGCCTGCTGGGTGACCTGGGGCAAGTCCCCCTCCTGTTGATTGATGCACTGATCCTGCACCTTCCAGGACCAGACCCAGGGGAGCAGGGAGTTGAGGTGATGGGGGAAGGGCCCTGTGACTTATCTGGCTGGAAAACAACCAACCACAATGTCAGGGAAGCACACTGCTCTCCATCGACTGCATGAGATTATCTCTGCACATGGAGACACTCCAAGCACCTGCACGAAGGGATCGAGCTGACGATGGGGGATGTGGGTTTGTTGGAGCATCTCCGACAAAAGGGCTCTGATCATCCCCATGGAGGAGTGGCAGAATAAACTTTCAAGCTGGAACCGTGAAGATTAACTCTGCAATCCAGCCCGTAGCCTGGAGCATGCAGGGTTTTGTCTGGAGGACGATCCGGGTTTTGGTGGAAATCAATCTGTAGATAGCTGCTCCGATGCCCTCCGCATTGCCATGTAGCAGCTGATGGCTGAAACACGTCCAAGGATCCCAATGGCTGCTGTGGTTTTAGCCCCCCCCCCCGGTGCGTTCTTGGACTCGTGCTCTCCTCCCTGCAGAGCTGAAGGTGTCCTTCCTAATCTGGGGCCGGTGGCAGACAGATGGCTTCATTAAACAGAGGATGGGCTGGTGCCCAGTTAGAAGCGTGTTCAGTTCTTCTCCCCCATACAACGTCCCTTGTCTAAATGGGCAAGAGACAGAGGCCCCTCCAGCACGTATCAGACAGGAGAGCTGGGGTTCAGTAACTCCACCTAGGGGATGGTGCCAGATGCAGCTCAGATTGGTGCAGCTGGGGCTGTATCCTGCGTGATCAACTTTTATATTTCATTGCTCTGGATCCAACCAGCCATGTCAGGATGAATGTTGATCAGCCCAGAGAAACGAGCCAGGATCTCCTTCTGGCTGGCATTGCCCGTTTGTTGGGAGGATTGAATTCCTTCCAGGAGTGCGCTTCCTACCTTAAAGCAGAGTCACCCAGCCCATATTGGGTCCTTGACAGGGGGGACGGTAGCTGGTCAGGATGGGCTTGGATAAACATTTCTCCCCCCAGGCGAATCTCCGGCTTAGCCATCAGAGGCAGGGCTGAGGAATAGACAGGGCTGGTTATCTGGGTGCTAACTGAAGGCAAACCACTAATGACACTGCCCTTGATGTCTTCAAAGCACTGAGTTGTCCATATTATTGGTGCAGAAGAACCAGGCATGACAAGGAGAGGAAGGGAGCAACAGATCTGACTCCAAACTGGTCCATTTCCTCGCACAGCGTGGTCATGCCACTGCTGAGTATCCGTCTGGGTGGGCCTGACTCCGATACCCCAGGGGATGGACTCACGCTAAGACCCTGAGTGGAACAGACTCCAAACCATCCCTCCCCTCCCTGCAAACTCACCAGATCGGAATCTTACATCCTGGGGCCTATCTTGGGTCACCCCACCCTGGTTCTACATGTGGAGTGGTCCGAAGTGTGACCAACTCGGCTCAGGGACTGCACCACTTAATTACGTCTTAGGTGATCTTGACATGAAATTTGAGTGTGGCACTTCTGGTTCCCATGGTGCTGTTCCCCCAGTACAAAGGGCTTTTCTGGCTTAAGAGAGATGCGATTCCCTTCTCGATGCACAAATCCAGCTCCCGTCACTGTTAGCAGGAGTCGGGTATGTGCGTGACAAGAGGGAGTAGCACCCGTGTCTAGACCAGACTGCAGGAATACACTACGTGTCCCACAGCCAGCTATTTTGGGGGCCCGTTTGCCCATCCTGGGTGTGATGTTCCCTTTGGCTTCGGTAGGAGTTTGTCCATTCCAGAGATTCTCAACCATTTCTCACACACTGACCACCATGTAGCCGGTACCCCTTGCCCCCACATTCAGCAATGTGGGGATGGCAGGGAGGTCACAACCCCCAGGTAGAGACACCCCCCCTCACACATTCTATTTTATTCAGGTTCTTCTAATGCACCCATTGCCATGGACTCAGGGCTCCATGGCTTTTGGGCCTCCTGCAATGGCAGAACATCTGCTGGGGTCCGACGTCCCAAAGTACCGATCACAAGACTAGGCTGGGTGTTGGACGGGCACAATCCAGCCCTACCACGGCGGAGAGGTTCTTGGCCAGCTGTGATACCCCTCTGAAAACAGGAAAGGCCAATGCCTCCTCTCGGGGACCCGTGCACAGCCATGGGGCTCCAGCAGGGCGGGGTGGGGGTAGCTTGAGAGCAGCCGTAGGCCTCTGCCTCCTTGGAGCGCTCGTTAAACCCTCGAGCTGACTCAGCTGGGCCTGGGATCTGTTCCACTCCTCGCTCTGATCTTGGGGGCCTCTGGCCCTGGAGGAAGTTCCATCAAGTACTGAAGCCCCCTTGTTTCTCTTTCCACCCCTCTAGGCCCACTGCAGCGGCACAGGTGATCCTGGGGAGTACAACCTGCGTTCCCGCACCGTGGTGTGCGGCACCTGTGGCCAGCCGGCAGAGAAAGCTAGCGGGGCCCAGAACGCCGCAGCCGGCTCCATGTCCTCGGAATCGTCCGCCTCCAGCCTCACCATCACCCGCAGCTACCGCTCCCTCGGGGGCGCTGGCGGGGGCAGCAGCGGCGGCCTTGGAGAAAACCTGATGACCAGGTCCTACATCCTGGGTAACTCCAACCCACGCACTCAGGTGAGTGCACGAGAAGAAAGGCCCCTATCTCTGGGGCAAGGGAATCCCAAGGTAGCCAAGTGTCCAAGGCTCCAGGCTAATGACTCTCGCTCATCTGAAGGTCCCAGTGGGAATTCCAGCTGATGGAACCCCATCATCGTTTGGTTCTTCCTCTTGCCCGCTGGTTAGGGCCAGTTCTGTGCCAGGATCAATGTGCTGTAAATACAAATAGGTTCCCCACTCGATAAGCCAAAATCCAGCTCTCTCCTCTAGCAGCTCCTGCTACAGACATGAGTAGTTTGTGGATGGGGATCTGGTGAAGGCTCCTCTCTGCAGATCTCTGAGTTGGACAGACGGGGAAATGATCTAAATGGATTTACTGACCTAGATTTAGCTCCCCTGTGGCTAAGCCAACTGTGTACGTGCTCCTCCTTTGAGATCGCTTTTGTGCCCCCGGTGGCTCCCCAGGCCGGGGCGTGCCTGTTCTGAGTCAGAGCCCATCTCTGCTGCTGTGAACCAGCTCCAGAGGCCACTTGCAGCCAGTTCTGATGCCCCGCTGCCCCCCAGTCCCAGGGTCCTCACCTGGGCCAAACTCCCACACAAGCCAACAGGAGTCTTTCCGGAGTGAGGACTGCAGGGTTTGCTGGCTGTGTGCGCGCAGTGCTGGGGAATGTGGCAGGGTCCCGCACCCCCACTCATCAGAGAGAGCCCCACAGCCCTCCAGGCGGAGGCTGCGTTATTTGGGTCTGCAACAGAAAACGTGTCAAAGCCAGAGAAATATTCCCCAGAGCAAGGAGCCTGGCTAATGAGGCTACATCCGAATCACCAGCTTCCTCTAGGGGCCCAAATGAGCTCTACTCTCCCTGCAGCAGAGCCCAAACTATAGCTGTCTAGGTCAGCGCTACCCCTGAATGGGCCCGTCTGTCCATAACCAGACTGTCCAGGGTCCTTCAGAATATGGAAGTTCTGAGCCTTCTGCCTCCAAGGGACCTCCCCTGACATGAAGGGCCCATGACGCACCTTAACGGGGACTGTGGGACTCGCCAGTGGTCCTTCGAAACCAGCGGCCTGTCTCCTAGGGTGACCAGTGGCTTCCGAGGAAAGTACAAGAGACCCCTCCCGCCCCCCATGGAATTGCCTGACAATGGGGGATGTTTCTTCCTTACCCAGGCAGCTAGTGACTGGCTCATGCCTTGAAGCATGATGGTTTGTACCTTGTACATGGTTGCCCATGTTAATTATACTTAGAACATTCAAGATAAGGTCCCTATTTATAGAGTTAAGCCCCTAGTTCCCCACGCTCTTGATTCTGGCTTATCCATGTGTCCCCTTGGCTGTTTTACTGGCCAGTCAGATCTCCAGGGCTGGCTGCTAGCCAAACTGGCAAGTTAAAAGCCTCCCAACCCCCTGAGCCAGCCGCTGAGGATCCCACTGGCAGCATCGCCACAGCAAAGCCAGGAGCCAGGAGATGGGGGTCCTATTCTAACTTTATCTGGGGGGGACTTCGAAATACGTA